GGCGAGGTTGTTACATATGCTTTAGTATACAAATGAATGAATGATTTTATTCGAATAAAACCATTCGATAGTTGAAATCATTCATTCATTAACCATTCGATAGTCTAATTCATTCGATAATTCTCATCGCTAATTTATATGCTGTGGTAGAAGCATGCCCATTAAGATCCTATTCCGGTTCCTTTGATGATTTCCTGGAAGCTACAGACAGTGCAGTCGAATACATCCGTAATTTAGATGTTTGTTTGTGATACTTGTTATATGTATATTTGTATATTTTAGACTTTGTCAGACTATTATTATTGTTTGTACATATACTTCTTTCCTGATCTTTACTTGTACAATGATTATGGTTCCGTGTTTTGTTGTGATGTTTGGCTATACGATAGATAGATAGATGGAGTAGGGCTTCGAAACCGGTAGTGAGAGCAGGTTTATCCACATTATGATAAACACAGTGTGGAATTAAATTTTTATATTAGCAATTAATTGGCAATAATTCTTATATAATTTTATTATATACCCTCTGCAAGAAATTTGTTTTCCATTTTATAAAAATTTTTAGTTCCTTAACTCGACATAAGATTTTTGAGGCTTGTCAAACTCTTGCCAAATTATACAATTATACATTTCAAAAAACATGTGCCATCTATTATGAGGAGGCACCTCACGTTAATAATTAAAAATAAGATATATTTTTCATATTAACGTAGGTCCGATTCTGCTTTGTTTCGTAGCTACAGGGTGTTAAAGTCTTATATTGTTTCGATTTATTATAGGTAATTTTCTTTCAAGTACTTTTAGCGTTTCGAATGAAATTTTTGAGGGTAATAGTTACATATTTTAAAGTTAATAAAGTGGTAATCTAAAAATAGCATGTACGACACTGACTTTTTTCTCTTGTTAGTGAAATAGTGTAAGCAGTTTAATGCCAATTAAAAGTTGTATCTTGATATTTTGTCGATTTTGACCTCCTTGATGAGATAAACGCAATTTTATTAAATGCCTTATTATTTGCCTTTATCCAAGTCTAATAGCAACATTTAAAAAAATAATATCATTAACTAATAATAATACTAATAACTAAGTTTCAAATAAATACTCATTGATTCATCATCAAAAAATATGAAAAATGAGTTGTCGGAGGATTGGGCTACAGGGATGATTGCAGGGAAACCTTTAAAATGTTAAATATACTTACTCTCCCAAATCTTTATATATTGGAAAATCTATTATATGTTAAAGCCAATACGGAAAAATATCCCACAAATGTTCAGCACGGCTCTCATGACACTCGTAGGGCGGAGCACCTCAGTATCCCTATACATACATTAGAAAGGTCTCGAGATGGACCTAGATACTGGGGTGTGAAGTTTTACAATAAACTCCCGGATGGGTATAAACTATTGTCCGATAAGGTGTTTAAGGGCAGGGTTCGTGGCTGGTTACTTGAAAATCCACTGTATGACTCGAGGGAGTTTCTTTCAAGTGATATACATATTAATCTCACTTGAAGGAAATTCCTTCTACAACAGAATGTGGGAACTGGAAACTCCCACCCTATATTTATATTACAATGTATTAACTAGAGTATATAATTGTCATTGTATACCCATCTAATATGATGGTCTTAACTTTATGTCTTTTGTGTTAATTTTTAAATTAATTGTGTTTTATATATGTATTTTATTTTATACTTTGACTTATGTACGCCACTATTTGTATGGTACTGACATCAATAAAATTATTCTATTCTATTATTCTATTTTAAAAATTATTCTAAAAAGAATTCCTATAAACATGGGTAATGGGTATGGAAATGCATAGTTTTAGAGTTACAGGATGTTAAAACTTTTTAGAATTAGTTTTTTTTGTAATTATCTCAAATACCATAATTTTTTTAATTGTAATTAATTGTAATTTAATTTTATTAATTGACTAATAGTAATAATAACTAATAGTAATAATATTTAATAATAAATTAGGTAAAAAATATAATTTATTCATTTTATTTTTATTTTATTAATTGTGATTAATAAAATTGTGTTTATCTATCAAGGAGGCCGAAATCGACAAAATATTAAGAGATAACTTTTAAATGGCATTAAACGGCCTACACAATTTTGAAAAAAAAGTCTGTAGCGTACATGTTTTTTTGTTTATTGACAAATATTCCAGTGATAACCCATATGCACGCCCCTGATAACTTTATAGAAACTTTTTTAACATTAAAATATGTAGCACTCATTGTAACGTTTACCCCCCAAATTTCGTTCGAATCGTTAAAAACACTTGGAAGAAACTTATAATAAATTGAAAATAAATTAAGCCTTTAACCTCATGTAGGTACGAAACAAAACAAAATCGGACCCATGTTGATATGAAAATATATCTTATTTTTTACCTAAGGAGTCTCCCCACGAGATATGGCACATGTTTGTTGAAACACTCTGTATACAGTAGTATCAAAATAGATCTCCGATTTGTACTAAAAAGATTATCTAAAAACGGCAAATAGAGGCTTTGCTCTTACTCAACCGTTAGTTTGATATACAGGGTCCGGCAATAGTGCGTCGGGCATCTGTACCTCCTAGAATAAAAAACTTGAGAATTTTGTTTAAGTGCGAACCTAAAGTATGTGCCAGGATGTATTTCAAGAAAATATTTTAACTTCTATAGGGTGGCTCAAAAAAGTGTGAGTGGACCTTGATTTTTTTTTTAAATGGAATACCCTGTATATTATTGCATTTTTGGCTTCCTTTCACATCACTTTACATAACCCTAAGATATGAATAAATATATTTTGATAGTTTCAGAGATATTAAAAAATAAATAAAAAATATATATTTTTCAGCCCTTCTTAAAAAAATTATTAAAAATACAAGAACTGTCCTGAAATCAAAACTATATTAGGTATTTACTTTAGATGATCTGTATTTACTTTGCTATAAATATGAAAATCGTAAATTATACAGAATGTTCAAAATTCTGCGCCAAACTTTCTAAAATATAAAATATTTTTTCCTCGTTTTTTTAAATGGAACACCCTGTATATTATTTTGTCAATAGACGGAGACTTAAAAAATGAACATTTTTTGTATTTAAAGTATTTCAAAATTTTTAACGGTTTCGCAGATAGTTGCGGTTTTATATTTCATATGGCATTTTCCACAGTAAATTTTTATCAAAGCCACCTCATTTTTCTCTCGTATTTTACCATTGAAAGTGCCATATGAAATAATACCGCGCGTATCTACGAAACCGTTCAAAATTTTGAAATACAAAAAATGTTCATTTTTTAACTATCCATCTAATAAAAAAATAATATACAGGGTGTTCCATTTAAAATAACAAAGAAAAATTATTTTATATTTTAGAAAGTTTGGCGTAGAATATTGAACATCCTGTATGATATACGATTACTATATTTATAACAATGTAAGAACAGACTATCTAAAGTAAATACCTAATATAGTTTTGATTTCAGAACAGTTCTTGTATTTTTAATAATTTTTTAAGGGCTGAAAAAAACACATATTTTATTTATTTTAATATCTCTGAAACTATCGAAATATATTTATTCATATCTTAGGGTTATAAAGTGATCTGAAAGGAAGCCAAAAATGCAATTATCTACAGGGTGTTCCATTTAAAAAAAGTCATCCAGGTCCACTCACACTTTTTTGAGCCACCCTATAAAAGTTAAAATATTTTCCTGAAATACATCCTGGTGCATACTTTAGGTTTGCACTTAAACAAAATTCTCAAGTTTCTTATTCTAGGGGCTACAGATGCCTCACGCACTATTGCCGGACCCTGTATTTATTGTGTGAATTGAGATGATTAAGAATCCAACTATTTGTAGGTTTCATTCCAGATTATGAAAGTATTAGCAATATTATCAGTGATCAAGAATACGTCTGATCTCACATAATTTATAATTTAAAATAAATCAACACAACGGAAGTCAAAAATTCTTTTAATTTTAATACTGTACCAATGTTTACCATATTCAAAGATATGTCTTAATAATAACACAGATTATAATCTTTGTTTTTTCTTTATTGTTTTTCGTGGTTCCAATTTTCGGAATCGGGCACTAGTTAGGTGACTAGTTTGCGCACATAGCACGCCCACTTATGGCCTCTAAAATTGTGCACAGCGACTGACCGACACAGTTATTAGAGAGATATCGGAAAACCGAATAGCGTCATCCAGTATTTCAACGCAACACCGGCTAATAACGTTACCGCCTGACGTAATTTGCGGAACAATTACACCAAGAGCTTTTTCTAAATAACCTCTGATAACGTTTAAAAATTGCTTAAATGGGCATGTGCGGGTATTTGACAACCGGAGCCGGCCGGCGAGATCTTTTATTTTAGGTTATGTTTGAATTGTTTTGAATTATTGCTTTAGTTTTATTAGGTAATTTTATATTTAAGTAGCTGGGATTAGTTTTAATTAAATAAGTATGGCCCAAAATATGGATTCCACCTCTTCCAATACTAAAGAACCTATAAAGAGTCTTAGGTTTACAGCAGATGACGACTTAGCCCTTCTAAGAGAATTTGTTGCTTGTTGCCCTAAACCCATTGGCAGACGTTGAACAATAAAGCACTGGAAATAAGCACGTTAGCCCTTTAGTTTTAAAATACCTAGTAAACAAAACAATTTCAAAGTTTTAAATTCAAAGTTAGGTTAAATTTAAATAGCGGACGCGACGCGATCAGAATTCTTTCCGATCCGACTGGATCCGATAACTATAAATGAAGAGAGTTAATACCACCTCACGTAAAGGAAATAACACCTAGCCTTATTAACGTCCATGCACGCTATTCGGTTTAGCGATATCTCTCTATTACGCTGTTTATTATTTTTGCGCGCAGGAGATTTAACTCGTTTGCACATCGTCATAAAAAACAATTTTCGTACCACGAATTAGGCACAAGATTTTTATCTGTATACTTATAGGATACCTAATCTGTGATAATAGTCACCTTAATCCTGAACCACCATTATAGCAGTGGCTATGTCTGAACGAACGATATCCATTCCCAGCAAAGTCAGTGGCAGTTGAGAGATTGCTTCCGCTTCTTCTAATCAACAGATTTGGACAGCTCTTGTCAATTGTCACTTTCGATGATATCTAAATGGATGCAAAGGTAGTTATTATAGGAACTTTTTAATTTTTTATCGGTGTTATACTTCTGACTTTTGCAAAATAGTATCGGATGATCTCATCAGCTGTTGTCTAACTATGATAGGAATTTTGCTGCCAGATGTAACGATTCGGGTGTACTGGGAATTGTTGAACTGTTGTCGGGAATAAATCATCTTGTTTCTAAATAAGAAGTTAAATTATAGGCTTCGGCCGAAGGTGACTAACTGACCGAAATTCAGCTTCGGCTCCGGCTTCGGTTTCGGTCAAATAAATCACATTCAAATGTCGGTCTTTAATTCACACACATTCATAAAAATTATATTTTTTGTGAAATACATGTAAGGATAAAGAGAAACGTTACCAATAATATTTTAGATAGAAGTTTACATATTTCTGTGAAATGTAGAGGGTGGCGCCCCTCATATACGACGGGGAGGCTACAACGCGAACGGAAGTTTATATCGAAATGAAATTTTGGGAGCATATGTAGGTTAATTGGAAGCATTTTATAAAAATAGTTGTTTTTTTTTGTAATGAAACACTCTATATATTAATTGATTTTCGGATTCTAGGAAAAAAATAAAAGTGACTTTCATTAAAAAAGCATATGCCTAAAGTTTAAGGATTATGACATATTTTACATTTTGTGCAAATGAAGAATAAATTTTAAATTTTAATAACAGCTACCTAAAGTGTAATTTACCTGTATAGCCTGATGTTTAACTACAATAACCATTTTATGTTAAACCAAACTAAAATTTGACCCAAAAAGTTACACAGAGTGAGATAAAATTAATACTGAACATTGGCCACTTTTAAAAGCAACTTTTTTTACTCCTTTATTTTAAATGGAACACCTTGTATACAGGGTGTCCCAGAAATAAGTGCAAGTATTTTAACTGGTAGTACAGTTCAGCCCCAGAAACACGCCTATGCGGTTTTTTTCGCGAAATTTAAAAAAAAATTAAATTCGGAATTTTTTAAATTTTTTTTAGGTTATTTTTAGTTTTTAGTTAACCCAAACCAAAAACATAATTTCTTGATAATATGGCAACATAGGTAGTAGATTAAATTAACAAGAAAGATAATCCAGAAAATATCCAGTAGTTCTCAAAATTTTAGCAAAAAATCATTTTTTTTTTTAATTTTCAAAGTAAAATAACTGCGTTATTTTGGACTTATTTGAAAGATGATAAAGAGAAAATATGTTTCTTTTATCGAGATCTGCCACCCCTTAACATACTTGCACATATTTCTGGTACACCCTGTATTATATCGGTACTCAATGGAGAATTTATACCTTTAATAGGTACTAATTATTATCATTCTTTACTTATAATTTAATCTTTATTTATATCTTTAAAGTAATATCTTTAAAATACTACTATTAACGTTGCCTACCCCTCAGACGAACATTTTCCTAGATATTTTCATTTTTATGATTTTGCCTCCGTAGATTTTATTATTTGATGAAAGGTGGCTAGGTGGCTGTGATACACCTTTTGTTAATATAACAAAAATTAAAGGATATAGAGTAGAATACTCAACGGTACTAAAAAGATACACGTTTAAAACATATTTTATTTATTACAGAATTAAAACTAGATATAAGCCTATAATTATGATACAAAAACTAGATAGATGAAATCAAATGCCTAATATGTTTCCTTTCCTGTTCACTGCATAAAATACTTCTCTTTTCAAAAGACCTTTTCATGTTAAAAGGCATATATATGAAGTTCTACTTCGGAAAGCAGTCACAATCATTTCTCTCATGTTGTGGACAATAGTTGGTCGAGTTTTGTAAACACTGTCTTTAACATACCCCAGTATAAAAAGTCAAGACTAGATAAATTAGAAACATTTAAGTATTCTATTAAATGGCGAATGCTCACTGCAGTCACTAACTAATAGAATCATACCAATTTTCCCTGATGTAGGAGAAATTTCTATTTTAGCAAATTAAAAAAAATATATTTTAACTGACACAAAATGATAACTAGTTAATTAAAGTTGAACTAATTTTACAGCTAATGTTGAAGTAAAGTCAGTGGTATCACAGCCACTTAGATTTTATCAAATAATAAAGATCTACTGACATAAATCATAAAAATAAAAATAGCTAGGAAAATCTTTGTTAATGGGTAGACAACCTAATAGTATTTTGAAGACGCATGAATGCCCCATTGAATATGCATATAATATACTGGGTGTTTCATTTAAAATAAAAGAGTTATTTGCTTTTAATGGTGACCAATGTTCAATATTAATTTTGTCTAACTCTGTATCAATTTTTGAGGCAAGTTTTAGTTTGATTTAAAGTACAATCATTATTTTAACTACTTATTAATATATACCGGGTAAATTGGAATTTAGGTAGCGTTTATTGAAATTTAAAAGTTGTACTTCATTTTTAGAAAATATTAGATATGCCAAAAATCTTACATTTTAATCATATTATATACAGGGTGTTTTAAAACAAATGCGAAAAACTTCAGGGGGTGATTTCTTGTTCAAAATAAAGGGTAGTTTGCTTTATAAACGTTGGGTCAAAAGTCAACCATTAGGGAGATATTGCGGTACAAAGATGGCGGAAAAATAATGTTTTCATTTTTTATCTTGAAAACGAATAACGATAGACTAATGAAATTTTATGGAAGCATTACTGTTATGAGAACACACTTTCTGGTAATTTTCTCACTTTTTTAAAATGAGTGGAAGGGGTTGAAATAAACACCAACCTCATCATCAAACATCAAACCTATCATTCTTGTTAAAGAAATTTAAAGAAAAATTTTATCAAACACATGCAAAAATTAATTTGGATAGACTAGTTTGTTTAGAAACTTTTTTATCTCTTGTGTTTTTTTGATAAAACTCACCGATTTGAAATTACAAAATAAAATGTAAGGCATTACATGTCAGGACAAAAAACATTTTTAGATACAGAATCTAGTGGGCTGCTGTAATTTTTTTAGGAAAAAATCTAGTCGGGCGCTGTTACTTTTTAGGATGTTTCTAATATTATTTTATTGTGCTTACTCTACTGCAATACGTTATTATCTAGATTCTTATTATAATCGTTATTATCACTAGATTCTTGATCTAAAAATGTTTTTTTATCCTGACATGTAATGCATTACATTTTATTTTTTAATTTCAAATCGGTGAGTTTTATCAAAGAAACACAAGAGATAAATATCTAAAATATCCAAATTAATTTTTTTGCATGTGTTTGATAAGATTTTTCTTTAAATTTCGTTAACAAGAATGATAGGGGTAGTTTATTTCAACCCCTTCCACTCATTTTAAAAAAGTGAAAAAATTACCAGAAAGTGTGTTTTTATAACAGTAATGCTCCCATAAAATTTAATTAGTCTATCTCTTTTCGTTTTCAAGATAAAAAATAAAAACATTATTTTTCCGCCATCTTTGTACAGCGATATCTCCCTAATGGTTGACTTTTGACCCAACGTTTATGAAGTAAACTACCCTTTATTTTGAACAAGGAATCACTCCCTGAAGTTTTTCGCATTTGATTTGAAACACCCTGTATATACTCTAGTAAAACTCACCTTTATTTTGGTAATTGTTGCATATACGGGTTTCGCCTATTTTTCGACTATATAAGAAAATTTTTATATATTCACATTCTATTGTCCTTAGAGATTGCAAATATGCTGGGGGAGAAGAGAAATTATGTTTTTTTAAGTATTTTTTCAAACAAACAAACTTACGGGACCGGGGAGCGAATAGGGTGCTGGGCGGGGTAAAAACAATATTCTGATTAAATATACTCATAACACATTTTACAATCCTTTAATTAAGCTTTTAATGTAAAATTTCTTCCAAAAAACTATGTAAAACTGTTTTATTCAGATATCATTGGCAGGGTACATTGAAGGATATGCTGACAGTAGTGAAGGTTGAATTTTGACAAACATTGTTAATTGATGCATAGTTGCCAAATCAGCTAGTAAATTGTCCGGAATTTCATGCATCCTTTTTTCCAGCTGTATAGAGAATTGCTTAGCTCTAGCAATGAAAACACACTGAGCGGTTTGGTTGGTTTGGTTTTGGTTGGTTTGGTTTAGATTCGGTTGATCTTGTTTGGTTTGATTCTTTGTTTTTTTCTTCGTATGTTAGAAAAATTTTTCTCTTATTTTACCAAAATTGCATTTTTCTTCAACTCAAGCTCTTTATGTTTGTCTTAACAGCATTAGAATAGGCACTTCATTTTATAGAAAATTTCTTAATTTTAAGGGCCATAAAGTGAAACGGATCCCAAATAGCACCAAAAATATAATAAACTATTTTTTAATCTAGTGAAAAAGAAGAAAACACAAAACATAACAAAACACAAGAGTGAAACGTTATTTTGGTTCTGTTTTTTATATTTTGTTAGTTTAAGGTTTTATTTTTATATATTTCATCAAAATAAAATATATTATTTTCATTGTTCAATGTTTGTTTTATTTAAATTAAATTTGCTTTATTTGGGTTAGTTTGATTTTTGCTACAGATATAAAAATTTTAAAGAAAATTCAGTGGCACTGGCAACATTGCTTTCCCTTCTGTCGGTGTCATGTCAAATCAAATGTTAAAATTCTCATAACGTCAAATATGTGTCAAATATTAAATTAAAATATTTTGAAATTGCATAATCTATATTTTCTCAATTTTTTTAAACGGAAAATGCGATTTTTCTATATTTCTATGTCATGTTTTACCAGTTTGTACGCTTTTACCCCGCCCAGCACCCCTATTAGCTCCCAAGTCCCGTAAGTTTGTTTGATTGACAAAAAAACTTAAAGAAACACAATTTCTCTTCTCCCCCAGCATATTTACTATCTTTAAGGTCAATGGAATGTGAGTATATAAAAATTTTCTTATATAGTCCAAAAATAGCCGAAAACGGTATATGCAATTTTTACCTTTATTTTTCACCTAGAATCCGAAAATCAGTTAATACATAGGGTGTATTTATTTACTGGAATTACAAAAAACACAACTTTGATGTGTAATTTTTTTGGAAACACCATGTAGAACTCTCCATGTTTTTAAAAAATGCTCTAAATTAATCTACATATGCTCACAAAATTCCATTTCAATATACCTTTAACTGGATGTTACACTTACTTGTAATTTCTGAATATTTCCCAGACACTCCATACTACACTCCTTCCTATTGAACATATTACTATAGAAATACAAAAAGTAACCAGATTCCACACCAAGAGTGTCCATCCAAATTTAACGCCTCTAAATTCAACTTTGTTGAGATGAGGCTCAACCGTCTTCTTCAAATTTTGCACTATAAGTGGTTTCTCGTACAGCTCGTCGAATTCTAAAAAAAACATTTAAAACTTATTAAAAAATAACTGTTATATAACTTGAAGAAAACCTTCAACGAGTTTTTGAAAATATTCTGGATGTTGCATAGATCTTCTAAAGGAATATATTTAAAATTAAACGTAGGTAAACAAAAAACGCATAACTGTCAAATCGATGACATATTCCATAAAAATATTTATATTATTTATAGTGTTAATGTTATTTTGTATTAATAGTAATATATTCTTTCAACTGGAGTTCTTACCTTTGCTATACTTGTGGACGTTGGTTATTCCTAATAGATCTGTGATACATAAAACTATCCAGAAGACAAAACCATATCCAACTAATGCCTTCCAACATACCTTCATATTTTATATATAAAAATTTTCCAAATTTCCTTTGCTTAATATTCGAAAATATTTTAAATAATCACAGCGAAGTATACAAAAAAGGAACAAAAAACTTAATACAAATTCGGTGACAACTAAAACATATTTTGATGACGTTTGTTATACTTGATGACAACAACACAAACAACTTTTATATTTATTACCAGTTTAGGGTTTTGCGTTGTTGATTTTGCAAAAATCTGACAAAAAATACTTGGGGAATTGCTTCTGTTGAATAGCTTTTCTGTATTTATCCTTTTCTCTTTTCCATCTATTAATTTTTTCACTGATAGTCAGTTTTCGTTTAGTGCATGCGCAGACATTTAGCATCATTTGTTCCCGTTCTAGCTCTTTGATTGCTTTTATTTTTTCTTCTTCTTCTTTATGCTGTTTATCGTAGATATCTATACCACTAATGACAGAAGCTATGTGTCTGGAAATGCATTCAAATTTTGGATCCCCGTCATCTGAATTGAAGAAAGACTGTCTTAAGTTTGAGATGTGTTCTTTTAAATCGTTAGAAGAGTCGAATATTTTTTGAAATACCCTAAAAGAGGAATATTCATAATTGCTTTGACTAATTGAGTGCATATCCTTGTAGAAATTTAATATATTAGTACTGTGAGTAAATCGTTCGTTATATTTTTGAAGATGTCCTCTTCTACAATCGGTAATTTCAATTAAAGGGTCCGAAGTCAGTTTGTAAGTACGAACTGCACCATTTTCTGTTTCATTTACTTCACTAATATAGCTCTCTACATATTTCTTTGTTAGAAATTCATCTCCATCCAATTTTTCGTTTATAACAAATAATTTTTTATAAACCTTGTCAATCAGGTGGTTACATTCCATCTTATTTATCTGGCCTGTAATATAACTATTATTTCTAGAACAATTTCCAACATAATCACTATAAAATTCTTTATCGTAAGAGTCTTTCACTTGCAAAAATTCTTCGTTCGGTGCCCAATATTTTTTATAAAATGGTCGAACGTTTAATTTGCAAAAGCACTTTTCAGAACATCTCCAACATATTTTTTCAAAAACAATATCTTCTTCTGACAATATTAGAGACTTTTTATCATCGGAGTCGTTGAAGTCTACAAAAAATTTGTCTTGGTACTTTGATTTTTTCAATTTGATTTTATCAGAGACGTCGATTGAAGCGGTCTCGTCGAAATCGTAAGTTACTGATGCATAATTTGGATGTTTATATTCAAAATACAATATGATATAAACAAATCCATCTACCAGTTCAGCAGATACATCTATATTGATGGAAATACAGGTCTCATCTGGGAATAGAAAAATCTGAGATCCATTTTTGCTCAAAGAACTTTTAAATCCGTCATTTCTTTCAAACTCGACTTGATCAGTAGATAAATTCTGCTGAGATGTTACGTAGTATAACTGTTTTTCAGATATTTTATCTCCTTCTATCTTAATTTGTTTTCCATCAAATTTTATGACATTCGTTCGTAAATAGGGAACATCAAATTTTTTAAGTAGATTTACTAGATTTTCGTCAACTATATGACTGTGTCTGGTAGTGATGTGAGCTCTTCTGCTAATATAGAAGTCACAGTTTTCCTCTTTCTTTAATATGTTACTCAATTTGTTTTTGTAGTCTTCCATTGTAGCACATCTGCAAGGTTTCAAGCTTTCGGAACTCTCCAAGCAGTCGTTCGGGTTTTCAAAATTAACAATATCACCCGTTGATCTCAAAATTGTAATGGTACCGTCAATTTTCTTAATCAAAACTAAACCTTGAGGACTGAATAATCTGAATTCTTCATGCTCCAAGGACTTTATTTTTGGTTTGTCGAAAGCGAATTCTTGCTTCACCATTATGTTGCTCGAATCCACAACATCTGAGTGAGCCTGAATGAACAATCCATTTGGAAATGAAATTTTAAAATCTAAAGGGCCTTTAATCTCTAAATCTGATGTGTCATCGCTAACCGACTGATACCTTTTCGAAAATGTTTCATACTGTTTTGGTCGACGGATTGAAATGTCTTGATCTGATAATATTCCTTTCAAGAAATGGTCAATAGGTACGCTAACACTGGAATTTAATCTTTTCAAGTATTTAGTTTTGGGATTTATCTTGTAGATCACACCTGGATTGTCATTGATATTTTCTATCGTCTCTAGAAGGTCTTCTACATCACCTGAAGCAGGCAATTCATCCAAATCTTCAATGTTATTAATCAAATCATTAATGACTGTTTCCTCAACACAATGGACAACTGGAGCATTCTTTATGTCGTGAAACGATTCAGGTTTTTCTTCTTTAATTTCTTCGAATTCTTCTACAACTACTTCCCGTTCTTCAATTTCGTCGTCAATTTTTTCTTTAGTAGATCGGGTGTATTTTGTACTTTTAGTAATTTTAGTGTTTTTATAAAGGAAAGTAATTTTCATATCATCTCCTATAAGTAAATCTACCATGTATGGGCTTTTAGTAAGTGATTTACTTGAGTATGCTATAAGAGTCATAGCGGCACATATAATCTTTACACAGCATTTTGGAGCGGCTTGTAAAAATTTAGTGTTATCTATTACAATTTTAATACCATCGTGACTACAAAAAACAGTTTCGTGTCCCGTTATCTTAAATTGATTGCTTCCCAAATCGTAACTGATTAACTGGTCTGTCTCGATAGCATTTCCACATTCACGCATAATATCTTTGCTAGAAGGAGAACTAAGTAAATCCATTAAAATGTCGTCAAAATTAATTTCTGGTTGCGTGCTTGCTACTATTTTTTGAACCAATTTATGTAAAACCACATTACATGTTTCCTCAATATTTTCTTCAATTTCTTCGTCTAGACTGTCTTCGATATTTTCTTCGTTTAGTAGGTAAAAATATTCTTCATATATTTTTAGCTCTTTTTTAATTTTAAACCCACCAGGACACTTTTCTTTTATATTAAATTTATCTTTAAGACTAAAATCCTCTTTGATAAATACAGTATTTTTATTCACCCATTCTCTTTCTTCTACTGTCACGTATCTACAAAAATCTCTTAGACATATTGGAGTGCGAATACTATTTTCGAAAATTTTTGTGTTTGTACCAAACTCGTCCAACTTGTCCGAGAAAATTACTAGGAGGTTGTGAGTTTCCGGTGAAAATTTGTGATCCATATAGAGATAATCCTGTGAAGCCTTGAATAGTTCTTGAAGCATTATATCACCAGTTAAATTCTCTTTCCACATAAACTCGATAACTGGAGTATTATATAAATTTTCCTCAGTTGTGTCATCCCTGGAACCCGATTCTTTAGGTTGCATAGAACTCCAGAAACGTTTCATATCATATGTTGTAAGATTATTTATTAAGTGGTATTTTTCACACTCAGTTGGTTTTAGGGGTCTGTTTGAGAAAGTATTAAACAAATACAAATACATAAAATGATCAATTTTTTCTTGGTTTTTAATAACAAACTGAGTAGTCGGCTCGACGTCATGTGTATGGGGAAAATCATCTGTGTTCCTTGTTCTTTGATAAATAGCTCTAAGGAATGGCATTTGCTTCAGTAAACTAATTGTTACATCGTATGCTATGGGCCCGACTCCTTTATAACTTTTTAGTATCTTCAATAAATCATTGTTTTCTTGAACTAACATATCTGTACGGTTAGGCTTTATTTTATCTGTATTTTCTCTCTCAAAAGCTTTTACTCCTTGAATGGGATCAGTGCAGTGTATCGTGTGCAAAGACCTATTTGAAACTCTAGTTGAGATGGTACTATTCGACTCAGTATTATGTACATTACTAAGGTCTATGTTAAACATTGTTTGTTCTAATAAAGCATCTAAAACTATAAAAGAACTCTGACATTCAGCCGGCAGGTTTTTTAGAGATCTATTATAGCGCTTCATACAATCAACTGGCGTAAAATAATATTTATTTTGAACAAAGTTTAGTACCAGATGTCTCAGGTACTTGAGATATATTAGTTTTAAATCTACAATTTTTCGTACTACGTAAAGGAACTCTTGAAATATATATGAAGGGTTTTGGTTTGTTGGTGCAAACTCCATTAAAACTGTATCTTCAAGATACTTATAGCAACTAGTATTATCGAAAAATTGTAGTTCTATATTTTTGAAAAGCAAAGTAGCAGCGTCATCAAATTCACCAGAACTATTCTTTTCATTTGTCTTATCAACAACTTTAATAATAGAACAAATAGGTACTTGAAGTTCTTGAATAAGCTGCTGTAGCATGTCGATATCATAATAACCTGTTATGCAATAGAACCAGACATTATCAAAAATATTTTCATCAAACTTGATTTCATTTGCCCGAAGAGGAACTGAAAGGTAATCAGTTGCATCTTTGGTTTCGTTTGGTTCTTTTTTACCTTTCTTTTTAGTGTCTTCTGTTCCCGGGGATTTTACTTTTTCAGGGGACACGTCTTTACCTTTCTTTTTGCATTCCCTGGTTAGAGTGCCAAGCAGATCATCAAGACCTTTTTCTTTTTGGCCTCTTTTTACATCATTTGCATATTGTTCGTACATAGTTTGTATGAGTTTCAATTTAACCAGTTGAGCTTGTTTATCTATGGGAATATCCTCATATGTCTTTATAGTTTCAAATATACTGAATAACAGGGGTTTGAATTGAACTGGAAACTGAATATTTTCAACATTATCTAACAATTCAGTGATCTCATCGCGTGTTATAAATATTAAGGAAGAAATGTCTTCGAAGTTTTTGCTGGTATTGACAATACTCTCCATTAAATTGAGGGAATCTATGCTGTCTTCTTGAACAAGAAATATATAAAAGAACTTTCTGGAGCAAAACTGTGCTAGGTCGACATTTACCAATTGAAAAATAAATGATTCTGAAGACAGTCTTGACGTGGTTTTGGAAATTACATCACTGTCTGCTCTGATGCCGTATCTATCCCGTTTAGTTTTACTTTGATTCTGTAAATTAGAGTTCATTATTTTTCAGTTGAGGGTTTTTCTTGCTAAGAATTATATTTGACTGAATTTTGACAAACTGTCAAATCTACATGACAAGGATATGGTAAATTCAAATATATTTTTGTCTAAAAGTATTTAATTAATGTTCAGTTGAAAAAAATTGTTTATACCGGG